TAGGGCTGTGCAATTAATCGCATGCGATTGTCATGCGCATCTCGTCAGTAAAGCCGCTTCTGTGATTAGTAGTATATCTCCATCACCTGCTTTCAGACAGAGCGGCATTTAATACACAGAGCCGTAGTTCACTGACAAGCTAGGCGACATCGCGTTCATAATTGAATGCGATTCATCTGCGATTATGAACGCGATATTGCCTAATTGTCAGTGAACTACGGCTCTGTGTAGTGCATGCCGCTCCATCTGAAAGCAGGTGATGGAGATTTACCACTAATCACAGAACCGGCTTTACTGACGAGATGCGCATGACAATCGCATGCGATTAATTGCACAGCCCTAATTAACAGTATTTTTTAGTTTGGCCGATGTGGGAAGCACTTCTATTTTGATGCCTTACAGGACTTTTATTTTGTGCATGAGAACTGTTAAAGAAAGTAAACAGCATATGAAAAAATATCATAGCGTTTGCTTTTCTATTATTAGTAATAGATTGGTATACACTATAATACTTTCTCATCTACCGTCAGCATTCAGCAAACACATTTATTTGTAAAAAATACTATAATTGATTACAGAATCAAGAAGTTGCCATCTGAAGTATAAATTTGTTTATTTTACCAGATTTATTTGATCAAGTTCAGGTTATTTTTCCATATAATTCATTCGCTGTTTTCATTAGTTTAATGTGTTTAACAGTTCTGTCTAATAATTATTATACAGAACTGTTATAGAAAGAAAGCAAACTGTATACAAAAAAAGTGTTTGCTTTTCTATTATTACTATAATACTTTCTTATCTACCGTCAGCATTCAGCAAGCACGCATTTATTTATAAAAATACTATAATAGGATTACAGAATCAAGTTGCCATTTGAAGTAAAAATCTGTTTATTCTAATTATTTTATCATGCACTTCACTTTCAAATAATTTATTTCTAATTTCTAAAATTCTATGTAAATATATATAATTTTAGCAATTGTTATGCATGTTTTTACTATCTTTAAACCAAATAGTGTGATATCATAAAACTCATCTCTTTAAACACTACTTGACTTCATCTTAAAAAAAAATTATCTTTATTTATTCCTTCCCTTTTCTAGCTTGTACTAATTTGAACAATGCCTAAAACTTGGTATTTCAAGCCCCTCCTGTGTCTGTTTGCCTCTTTAAGAAGAACCGCTTTATGTATTCCCCAATTGTAAGTTGCTTTGGATAAAAGCGTCGGCAAAATGACTAAATGTAAATGTAAACATATATATATATATATTTTTTTTTTGCCATATCAAACCACTAGTCATTATATTACATTAGTATTTTATACAGAAATAAGGGATTTGATTATGATTAGGAGTTAGTTTCTCGTACCCAAGCATGTGGCCACCTCATCCAGAGAAATATTGATGCTTTCAGAGGTTTCTGGGTAATCAGGGTACAAGGCCAGAAATTTCTGACACAAAAGCCCCAAACTCTTCTGTTTCCGGCTGGGTCTCCTCTCAGAATCCTCTACCGCTTCATACTGCAATAAAGAGAGATAAAACCAGCTAAAACTATTGAACATATTAAGATACTGAACATATTTAAGATGAAATGCATGTTCTAATCTGCTGTTTCTAAGTTTCCAAACATTACACTGATTTAGACTTCTTCTTTTGATACCTGACACGAGTCGTCGAGTTCTTCCTCTTCATCCTCCTCTATAGCCTTCTCTTCATTTTCAATGGGTCTGAAGAGGGTTTTCTTCATCTCTCTGTCGCGGATATCTGGGCTGGCGGCGCTGATCAGCATTTTCAGGTTGGCTGTTGGGGTCCAGGGGTCCGGATGGACCCTCTCTGTGTGTTTGATGGGGGTTATATGGGTGATATCTGGGCTGGAAACTCTCCTATGTCCCTTCACAGACTCACACTTCAGTGGGGTCATTTTCCTTCTGTCCATGCAGATGTTCTCCTGAAATCAGGCTGTTCGTTAGACATCAAATGAGGCAGGGGATGCATTGTCATATAATAATGCTTTATTACATTTAGATCTCTTACTTTTTGGTCATTCATGTTGCCAGTATCACCTGAGCCTGTCTTATTCACTAGCGTCCTCACACTAAGCAAATCCTTTAAAGTTAAACACTTCATCTCCATCTAAAAAAAGAACAATGAATCAGTCATAACCAATACATGTAAGCAATCAGTAAATTAGTTTATTACCGAATTATGTTATTATACATATGAATGATACTGTTAAACTTCTGCATTGTTAACATATAATACCAAAAATGTTACGTTATATAGTATATATATATGCATAAATTACATATCTGAATATAAATAAACTGATGTGTAAAGTATTAATGTGATGTTTGGTACTAATTAAGTTATTATAACATGTTGCCAAAAGTTATTCAAATACTTCTAGTAAAAAACACTGCGTTATTATCTTGGGTATTATATTACATAATATTACACGGTATGAAGTAAGAATCATGACTTATGATCACGTTCTTAAAAAGTGATCTGAGATCTGATGATGGTGGAAAGATTTTGGCGCAAATATCTTCACCGGTTGCCTGGTAACTTAACCAGATTCTCAGAATAAAAAATATGATGATTCAACTTTTGAAGTAATGGTCATTTATATTGATATGATTGTCACAATATTTTTTTTGCACTATATTGTAGGAGCCCAGCAGCATGCTTATGATATTAAAAGTCCTTCTAAATAAAAATCCTCTGTTTTTCTGATTATTTGAATACTGGTAAAATGTCTGTGAAAGTCAAACTTGAGTTTAAGGAGATTAATTTACATTATAATTTTTTTATATTAGATCATGCAAGTCAGATTAACCTTATATTCTTACCTTAAAGTTCCGTCCCTGGAATAGAAAAATCCTAAAGACGTAAATAAATCCTTTGCAAAGGTGATTGGTCCTTTTCCTCCTTAAATGAACATAATTTTCTCTCTAAATAAGAAGATCTGAACTAGTAATCTTCTTATTTCGGTCGTACGGATGGTCAGGCGAGTAAGAATCACCCGCTAAAGCTTGTTTTCTGGCGCTCTGAAGAGTTACACCCTCCCTCAGCCAATCACGTCGCCGCTATGCAAATATATCGACGGTGATTGGCCGAGCTAGGAGGAAATGCCGCAGAGCGACCGTCGTAGCCAATCAGCGACGCGTTCTGACCAAGCCGTTGGGGGTTTGTTGGCGGGGCGGTAGGCGCGCTCTTCATTGATGTGCTTCTGCGGTTATTACAGGCGCGACTGAAGTTTTAAAGGCGCCGGGACATAATTAATCATCACAGGTGATTAATTGACATTAAATAATTGCCGAGTGTCTCCTGACAGATTTTAATGACAAGCTCAGGCAGGAACAAAGGTGAGTGACACAGGTGGGGTTTTGGCGCGACTGAGGGTTTTGTCGCGGGAAATAGTGTAATATGAGAAGATACCCCACACCCACAAACTACCCCCACATGAGCATACTTTCAATGTCATAACCACAGAAATCGAATAATATATCTAATAATAGGATGTATCTAACTAATGAACCTGTATAAACCAAATAAAACCGATATGTAACAAATCATTACAGTTCAAATGTCATAAAACACACATATATGCATGTATGCACACACATTATTGCTTAAAACGAAACTAGAAAACTAAATATGTAAAACAACTATGTAAAATCATATCAATATCATATAGCATTCATTCATATAGTGTATGTGTTTTCACTTAAGTTTGTTGCATTTCCCTCTTAATGCACTCTGTTTAATGATTTATATTGTGTTGTATGTTTTAAAAGCTATCATATTATTGCTTTTTATTATTTCAGTTTTCAAGCCTCTTTTATCTATATTCGAGGTCTTCATCCTCTGACTGCTTTTGTGAGATCTGAAATACCATAAGATGCTGGGTAAGACTTCATTTCCATTTTACATAGATTTTATTCATCCTAAAATAGCTGTATGTAAAATATCTTGGGTTTGTTTGGGTGCACGTTACATCATCTTTAATGTCATTTATATGTCATGATCAGTTATTTATATGAGACCAAATATGCACTGGTGCACTATGGCAATGTGAAATATTTCAGATTAACGGTCTGTCTGAGAAGCACACACAAAATTAATTTAATTTTTCAAGGAGCGGTTAGTCAAGTGGATGAATCACATTTGCACGATTATGCAAAACTGGAGAGAAAGAGAAGTTGAATTAATGTTTTAGAGCAGCATATTACTGGCAAGCTCACAGACGGCCCAAATTAAACAATAAAATCTGGGATTGTGCCATTTAGGTCAAATA